TTTTACACACCGAATTTTTTTACATCGAATTTAAACACCGAAATATTTGACGTCGAATTTTTTTTTCACTTGAATTTTTAGGATCTGAATTTGAACATTCGAATTTTTTTAACTTGAATTTTTACATTTTTATTTCACATAGGTAAATTCGGAGCAAAACAAATTCAGATTCATGATTTTCAAAGTAATTATTTTCAATGCTATAAATTCGGTGTCTAATAAAATTCAAATACTTCTGTCTCTTGTTTGCTTCCATAGGATGGGATCTGATATTCCAGAGTTGGCTTCCCATCTCTGAAGTGCTTTGAGGTGAAAAGACAGTTAGCAAAAGTTAGCTAAAAACACCAGCTAACTAGCGAGGACGAAAAGTCAGACAGCAAACGTTGATGTTGATAACACTGTAGCTAGTTAGCTGGCTAACAAGTTGGCAGCTAACGTTAGCTAGCTGGGCTGGATATACGCTAGCTAGTTGGCAGTCAAAGTCAATCGTTAGCAAACTAATAGTTTGGTCTACGTTTCTAATACATACCGTCAAATATGATGTCTTTATGAATTGACCTTACCTTTGAGCAAACATAAGTGTCCTTGATAATTGTCTTCACATTCAGTTGTGTATGTGGTTGACGACACAGCATAATCCACCGCTTGCATTTGTCGAGTTTTCTTTTGGGCTTCGGAAAAGGTACGAAATATACTCCTCCATCCAGTCTTTCAGGGTACCTGGTGTCCGAAATTACAGGTACCCCACGCACAGCGTTTCACCATCAGATATTAGCTAGATAATAAACATAGAAACTGAACTCTTCACAGTGGTTTCGATCACAGACGTCTGGTTTTGGTTTGATGCGCCCCACAAACGGCTTTTCTGGTGATGTCCGAGTTTTCTGTCAGGAGGGATTTTCGCTGTGATATGATTGGACAAATTCTATTTGGGGCGTGGTTTAGCGATAGGTCTATTGGGTGCGGACCTCGGTCCGGTCCGCCGACTCCACCTGCACACCATTCTCATCCAAATACTGCGTCACCTTGGTCACTCACGAGTCTAAAAAACAACTCATGTCAACGCACGTAAGCAACGTGGGCGCCAACGTGAGCGCCCACGTGACCAAAATATTTGACAGCGCTGATTGGCTGAAATTATGTTTCGGCGGCACAGTTTACTATTGACACTTTTGCAACGTGCTGGTTGCTGCTGTTTGGCTCGGGGGCTCCGCCCGGTAATGATAGACTAATGCCATGGGCAAGGCCAGGCAGGAAACATGTGACTTATCAGTAACTTTAGACATCGTAACACAATTTTAAACGAGATTTTATTGTAGATTATACATTCATTAAAAATAAAAATATAAAATATATATATTTTTTTAATATATATTTTTGAATTTAATTATTTTTTTTATATATATATTTTTGTATGTGGGAAGAGGTGGGGCGGCGCCCCTAGCGCCCCTATGGGCCGGCCGCCACTGGATCCACCATGGCGTGCAACTGGGGTACGAACAGCCCGTCCGGGCTGATTGGAGCGTCCAGTACTTTTCTGGCCGTCTCCGTAACAGACGCCTCCTTCCGACAGAGGTGGGGCTGGATCTGTGTCACCCACGTGGAAATCCTCGCCTGGGAGACAGCAACGGATGCGCACAGAATGAGCGCCGTGCTGGCCGCCTTGCTGATTTCCTCTGCCTCGGTGGTGGACCGCTCTACCAGTGTCACCACCGAGTTGGAGAGCAGCGCGATGTTATTCGCCGCCGCGCTGTGGTGACGGAGAGGGGGAAAGCATGATCGTCCGCCAAGCTGGCACCCTGCTCCGACTCTGTCTCCCCCGTCCGGAGGAGAGGAGGGAGGGGAGAACCGCACGGTGAACCGTGGAGGGAGGCGGGGCAGGAGTTGCTTTTCTTCGGACTCCTGCCCGGCACTCGGCCCCAGGGACATGAGGCCCCGTCCGCGGCTCGTAAGCCTGGACGGGCCAATCGTCCTCCTCGGCCGCAGCAGCAAGAGCGGCCCGCTCTCCGCTTCCTGTCGCCCGAGGGGAGACGGGCGCAGTGTGTGCATGCTACCTGCTGGTTTAGAGCCACGTACGCGTGCTCTGACCCCAGGCAGGATTCGCATACTGCTTTTATCTCTGCTGGTCATAACTCATTATGAACCCAGAGCCACATGATGGACAATCGCGGACGCAGTTGTTGCTCATGATGATTCTCAATTGCTGTGCTTCAGTAACTGTGCTGGTTTGCTGAAGAAAAGAGGGAGCAGATTGCCGGGCCGCTTTCCTATTTATACCGGAAGGAGGCCCGAGGGTGGGGCCCACCTTGCGGGTGGGCGTGGACTACAAGTTTTCAGTGCTGCGCGGGGGCGCAGGGGGATTCATGGGAGCCTGCCTGCAGACCCATGGATGTATAATAAGAACGATTCTGACGAACACGTTTTTTTTCCCGGCCCACCGAATCACAATGGAGACTCATCACGGAGGTGATGAGTCCACCCACCGTGCACTTTGGGTCGGCCTTGGTCAAGCCCTTTTCACCCCCCAGCCTGGTTCTCGTAAAAGTTTTTCGCTCAAAAGACACCATGGAGGAATGTAACGGGAGTTGACAGGGGACTGCCCGCCTCACGAGTGCCTATTTTCGGCCACTCATCCATATATTAACGGATTTTGACCATTTTTGTTGCATTTTTCTCCCCTCACTGATCGAATGGCAAACGCGACCCACTGTCGGAGGGCCTCCGCGCCGGCCCGGCCTAGTGCCGGTGCTCTGACGGTCGGTTCCTCCGAACTGCGGGTTAGACTCTGATGGCCGGGAGGGTTTGCTTCGTAGGGGTGGGGCGGGGGACTTCCCCCACTCTGCGTGTCTCTTCCTTCCCGGGCCGGCCGATATGAAGCGTGACCAAGACGCACCGTCCAGGGGTCTCACGGGTCCCGCAGCGGGGTGGAGGTTCCCAGCTGGAACCTCCGCCGCATATATATATATATATATATATATAGGGACACCTTGTATTGTAGTTAATATCAGTTCCGAAACAGGAAATGCACGCAAATACGAAATAAAATCGTAGGCTATATATTTATATATATCTTGTAAAATACAAGACGACATCTTGTATTTTAGTTACACCCGCTACTGATTAATTCGGTCAAAATTAGACCTTGACACCGTCCACATAGTGAAATAAAAATAATAGAAAACATTAAGCCTCTTTGATGTAATAATCGGAGCTGAAACCTCTTCCATATAACACACACTTCCTTATTTATCTTTGAATAATAACATAAAAATAAAGACGATATAGGCCTACTATGATATGATTAACCGACAGCTGTGGGTATTTGATATAACAAGATGATTTGTCTACTTGTATGATACATATTTTAACTATGTCAGCATGACACCACTTAAGAGGGCAGTATAAGTTAGTTAAAACCATATTTATTTTCTTAAAATTATTAGCCTCTTATTTATGTCATAAGCCTGAAAATGTTATGTATAATTATGTTACTTACAGCTCTATAGTCTAATTATTGTTTGCTATTACAATATACTGTTTCACTTCACTACTTTATTTCTCCCTTTACTGCACTATTGGATTAAGAATCTGCATATTAAACAATTTGCTAGAAATTATATCCATTTTAGATTCCATTGTGTATTAAAATGTCAATTATTTTCATATTTGGTAGTTATTTTTTCTGCTAGATCCCCTTGATGGACTCCTAAATTGCCCTTGTGGTGTGATGCGGGAGACAATAAAAGGCTTATGTTAAAGTAAACCAACATTCCTCTGTGGTGTTCATGGTATAATCAAGGTGAATTATCAAATGCTTCATTGAAAAACAAAACAAAGCAAAACACATAAAAACTGACAAAGTGTTCCAACTTCCTGTTGCCCTTTATTCAAACAACAGAAATGCATTCACAGAATGCCAGATACCCTCTTTTTTCTCTGATCTCGTTTAAGAAGGTCCACATGTCTTCCATATGTTCAAACCTAAACTTGAATGGCTCCAAGATTGCGTCCATCTCATCCTCGTCACATTCGTCAGGTTTTTCCTCCCAAAGCTTGACAGCCTCTCTTAGCTATTCCTAGCTTTCTAATGATATCAGGATTGTTTTTGTACTCCAAATATTAAGCGAAATATGTCACATTATATAATGACTGTCACCGAGTCATCATTTTGAGAAAAAGGCCTTTAAAGTTTCCTCTTCTCTGGAATCCATCGATCTGATTGATTATTAGCGGAGCAAATGATCAAAATACTACGGAGGGAAGATATTTTCATTTGGAGGGGAAGCTCGCGAGTGTGTGTGTGTGTGTGTGTGTGTGTGTGTGTGTGTGTGTGTGTGTGTGTGTGTGTGTGTGTGTGTGTGTGTGTGTGTGTGTGTGTGTGTGTGTGTGTGTGTGTGTGTGTAATTTTGCGTAATTTTGCGTTTGTGTGTATTGTGTTTGTTTCCTGGGGAAAACACTCACGAGAAACACCGGCTGTTGTTATGCCTGCAGTGACGTTAAGTTACTCCGTTCTCCGCTTGTAATTATGCCGTTACAAGCTTCAAAGTTGTATTTATCACCTGAATTTGCCGAAACAAGTTTAATATTCTGAAAGCCAAGACTTTGTTTAATTGACATCAGATGAAAACAAACTGTAACGGACCCTGCCATGTTATCTATGATTACTATACTCTTACATTCCTAATTTCAGCCGGAGGGAGGTGTGCGGAAGAGCAGATTGCGAGGGAGAGGTCAAACATGTATTTATCGTGTAATTTTGGAAATAAAAGTTTCATATTCTGAAAGCCAAGACTTTGTTTGTTTAAAATCAAATAAAACACCCGAACCCCGAAAAATAGTTTTTTACGTAAATCCACGTTTATTTTGAAATAAGCCGTTGCGACTTCCGACTGATTTCGATAGAGCGGGTCACAAATCGATAAATGTTGTTTTGTCTGCGAAACAATACATTTAGACTGCATTCATTGTTTTGGATAGTGCAAACAGGTCACGCACCTTACCTTACTGATTTGCAAAAACCATCAGACGAGTCCTTCGGTGGGCTGGGAAAAAAACGTGTTCGTCAGAATAGTCACTTCCTGTACTGACAGTGGAGGTGTCCTGACAGTGGAGGTCTGCACCGGAACTGTCCTGACAGTGGAGGTCTGCAGGCAGACCCCTCTCGGGGGATTACCCAATAGCGATAGCCTTAGAGGGCGAAGCCATATACGAAATATAACTCTACAATTGGCTCGGCAAAATGTTTGTTGTTGTTTTGCGTCAGTTTTACGTCGCCACTTCCAGTCACATTTGTCCTCATTGTTCCACAATGTTTATCATCATGAAATTAATATCTATATATTTTATACAAACTTGCACAGGGCCGCCCCTATACAGGCCAATCACGCAGGCTGCATGGGGCCCCGCCTTGCGCAGGGGGCCCCGCCCAAAGGGCCTCAGCTGCTGTGCTCAGTTCTCCGCGCAGTTCTCCGCTTACCCCCGCTGACACGTGAGAGGTGACAAAGGGAGCACGTCTGTAACCCGACACCGTTGCAATGAATCGACATCTGACCAATCACGGCTTTGATACGGCCACTAGTGCAGGTGAAGAGATGTCGGTGAAAAGACAGTTTCAGTCCGGCGCAAGCAAGAGGGAAAAAAACCAAAACATGAAGAAACTATAGCATCACTCGAAGGTGGATTATTGTATGAGTCAAATGTACAACTTGCGAATGTTGTCAAATTGCCAATTGCCATATTAAAACATCAGCTGCAATTCACGACATGAAGTCAAAGTCAACTTTATTGTCAAGAATTCTACATGTTGTACATCCAGAAATATCGAAATATCGTTTCTCGAGGTACAGTGTGACATATATACATCAAACAACAACAACAACAAAAACAAAAAGGGCCTAGATAACCGGGGAAATGTTAATGATATAGAAGAAGGCAGTCTCTGCAGAGCATATAGGCTAATGGAGATGCAGTTATTTCCAGCATTCTTTATTTAACATTCATTCAAGTATGTGATGCCTTTTATCTGCTAATGTACAGGAGGAATAGTGATAAACTGTCTGTCTAGTTGGCTTACATAAGAGTTAAAGTTTACAGCCTAAAAAACATGGAGCATTTTTTCCCCTTTTATTCATTTTTATGTCAATTTGCACATTTCATGGTGATGCTCAGCCTCTCCCCTTAACTGCTAACAGTCATCATCATGTCAACCACAACACAGAGAAATACTGATAGAAATGTGTGTGTAGTTGTTGATACATTGCTGACAGAGGGAACTACATTTTAATACAGATTTAAGAAATATCAGTTTTTGAGCATGTAATAAACATGTTTTGTATTGACTATATCACAACTATATTATAATAAAATAATGTAGTATTTATATTATTGAATTGATTATTATTATTATTAGTAGTAGAAGTAGTTTATTTGCATTAATTATCTTTTATTCTTTTTGAGGCTAGTATTTGGCAGGAAATGCAGACATATTCACCTGTCAACGCATACTGAACGACATACATGCACATTTACCATTTACCTCACTGTATACAAAAGTAACTGTGTTGATAATAATAATAAACAGGAATTTTATTTGCAAAGTTGCCTACTTTGTTTCCAAAAAAAATGTTTTCACTCCTGTCGGTTGGGCCTCATCTCACAATGTTGCTTGGGGCCCCAAGTTGGCCAGGGGCGGCCCTGCACTGCTTACCGTTTTCATACTTTATATATCTTAGCATATTCATACACACTGTTCATACTGCTCATAGGCTACTGTATATCTAGTGTATTCATAACCCTCACTGTTTATTCATCATTCAATTCATTTTATATGTTATTCTGTAGATTGTGTACATTACTTTTCACTTTACTGCTTTATGCACTCCTGGTTAGAAGCTGCATTTCGTTGTCTCAGTACCTGTAATATGTGCAATAACAATAAAGTTGAATCTAATCTTGAGCAGGAACACATGTATTTACTTAGTACATATCTGACATTAACGATTAAACACACGTGTGCATTCTTTATAAATGCAAACCGAGTCAAGCCGACTCCGGAGGTGGCGGATGCACCTTAAAGTTGTTTGCAATCCGCCAAAAAACCGAGAGAAGTAGAAGAACAAGCCGACTCCGAGCTGTCCGACTTCAGGCGAGCTTTTTGAGACCTCCCCCGGCTGCGATCGGCTATTCTCGTCTACTTTCGAGGCGAGCCGCAGCTCGTCTCAAACAAGCCTATTTTGTTTAGCGCTGCTTCACCTGAACCAGCTTTCCCTCATTGTATTCCCTCCGCTCTGCTGACATCTTGTGGCGCAGCTGCAGCACAAGGCTCTACGTCATCACCGGATGTTGACACCAGATGAAGCGCATAGAGGAACAGCTGAAAAAGAACAACAAAGCCGCGACGACGACGGTAAAAACAACAGATAAGCGTCTGAAATACACTTAAAACATCGGTGACATCCTATCTGGTGGGGACATTGTGTGCCTCTTAAACAACTTGTAAAGGTAGGAATCCGTCATTTGGAAATAAGCAGAGATATACGTGTTGTTGTTCATCTTGTTCCTAGTTTGCCGTTGATACGGCTGTTAGCTGGACTGCTAACGTATCGTTAGCTTTATTTGACTTGGTAATCACTACGACACCGTTCAGATAATATGCCAAGACCTCGGAAGAAACTAGCAGACTTTTTCCCTTTTTGTTAGTGAGTCGAAATTAGTTATTTTTTTAGAACAGTTTATTTATTTGTATTCTTGATGATGGCTTTTATTTTTTAGCACCATTCAAAGCTCAGCTGCCATCTACAGCCAGCAGTCCTCATGACAGGCGAGTCAGGAACAAAAAGTTCCTGTTGAGATCTGTCAGAGGCTCAACAAGGAGCTAACGATAGTACGGCAAGGGTGGTTAACTAAAACAACTAAAACATATATATTTTAGGAAAATACCTTGAGCTCATAATGTTTTTATTTCTTTGAAAAACAGTCAACTGTAACGTTATATTTTTGTTGGTTACTTTTCTAAGTTTCCTTATGTTGCCTTTTATACAGTTTTTTGGTGCATTGTTCACAAATATCTTTCAGGAGAAAGACAATTACAAAAACATTCATAATGAAATATGTTAACTTAAGTAAATTAATATTGTTAGTGGTATGAATAAAATCTTCTCAAAACATGCCATTTGATTTATTTTTCTGATAAATATTTCAATATAGATCATTTTCAGGAAAGTATTTTGAAACATTGTTAAACAGAAGTTTTCAAACTAGTTGGTTTGGATCGGCAGGTGCTTATGTAGTGCTGTTAAGGACCAACACACACTACATTGATTTGATAGAATCTCTGAATGAACTACTTTCGTCATAATCCACCAGCAGACACACTTGAAATTCAGTCAACGCATTGTGTGGCAATTTACAAAAGGTAGTCTGATTTGTAGGTTTACAAGGCTTAAGTAAAAGCCTCACAAGGTTGTAAGAAAGACTTAGTACATATACATCCCATAGCCTAACTGATCATTCATTTACATCAGTGCCCACAATTGCCACTCACACCCAGCTACTGTATGTTGTAGGAGTAGCTACCACATTATAAACAGTGTTGACAAACCTCTTAGAGCTCACCTTTTGCTTTAGGGTATTGTATTATGTGTTACTGCCTATAGTGTTTTATTTAAAGTACATTTTCTCTTGCTATTATTTTCTCTTCACTTCAGTAACTCCCAGAGAATTGACGATGGGGCGCATCTTCCTGGACCACATTGGCGGCACCCGCCTCTTCTCCTGTGCCAACTGTGACACCATCCTGACCAACAGGTCTGAGCTCATCTCAACACGCTTCACAGGAGCCACAGGCAGAGCTTTCCTCTTCAACAAGGTACAGAAACATCATTGATAAAGGTCCAATGCTAATTAAACAGCATAAGCAGACCCAGTATATAGTTCCCTCCTATAATTCATGGTTGTTTCTTAACTCAACAGGTGGTGAACCTCCAGTACAGCGAGGTGCAGGACAGAGTGATGCTAACCGGCAGACACATGGTGAGGGACGTCAGCTGCAAGAACTGCAACAGCAAGCTGGGTTGGATCTATGAGTTTGCTACTGAGGACAGTCAGCGGTACAAGGAGGGTCGTGTCATCCTGGAGAGGGCGCTGGTTAGGGAGAGTGAGGGCTTTGAGGAGCACGTACCCTCAGACAACTCATGAGCCCCCTTGTGTGAGGATTTCACTCCCATGCCCTCCTATCCCTCTCCTGTAATCCCTTTGCCTCTGCGCTGTGCACCATCACCTGCAGACTTAATGGTCGGAGAAGTTTTGGCTTCAACCCCTCCCTGTCTCTGGCTTCCACATTAGAACTGTGCTGATTCGAAGATTGGATTGCTGGCTCTTCTCCTGCTAAACAGGCTTTCCCAAAAATACTTCCTGAATAACGTCTCACAGGGCACCAACCCCAAAACAGCTGGGCACACAAATATATAGTCACTTGATGCACAGCAAATCACCGCCTCACATGCTCCACACATTTTCATACTGTATGGTGGTTAAAAACATGCATGATAACACACGTGGCCAGTCACACAGAAAACATCACCGAGTTGTTTTGTTTATTTGGATTTCTGGAGGCAGTAGAGCTGAGTATGTTCACCATCCAGACAGGGGCAGCCCGCTCCACTCAGCGGTGTTCAATGAACCGATGGAGGTGTCACTCTACATATTGCTTCTGTGTTGTGACCTTTTGTCTCAATGTATTTGTCACTGGTGAGCACTGAATGCAATTAAGCTCATGATAGTTGTTATTTCTACATCAGTCACCTTTTTATTAGCTAGTAGTTAAATAAATGTTAATGTTTAATGATATGTTCATGTTCGAATTATACCGTAAGGATCGCACAGACTGATGTCATTTTTAGGTATTCATTGTGTGGTTATAATAGACGTTTTTTAAATTTTTTTTTAGATCTGGCTCACATGATGTGCATAAATCTTGATTGACATGATATTCTTGACATTTACCCAACGTGGCTTTAAGGTTACAGTTCATAATTGGAGATAACCTCATGAATAGCAGACAATCATTTAATTGATCCTGCAATTTGATTTATTTTTGCCATTCTCCATCTGTTACCATTTGCCTGTGTGGTGTGACGAGCAACATGTCACTTTGGTGACTTATGAGGAGTGTGTACCCTGCAGCCATGTGTCTTCAGTGTGACAGAGGAGGGATGTGTCTGAGACATGATGGAGACATCCTCTGGCTGCCTGCCGGAGTAAGGACAGGATTTCAAGAGGATTGGTCATGCAAGCGTTTGAAAGTAGCCAACACAGGGAGACAATGTGAGACTTAAAGACAGCCTCTGGAAAATAAGAAACAGCAGACAGTCTCTTCTCGGTGAATACGTTGCTGGAAAATGTTAAATCAAGCCTGGGTCTGACTAATCCATTTATTTACACAGTTGACGCTAATTCTGTCTCCTAGAGTTGAACTACTTTCAGGATAGTGACCCCTCTTCTTTTTATAATCCTAGGCTGAGAGCATATTTGGTCATAAGATTACTTGTTTCTTACACACAGGACAAGTTTTAATGGAGTTTTAGTCAAAGTTAAGCTTTGGTCCTCTGACTATGCCAGAGCCTACATTTTATATCGTCCGTTCCCTGCAATATAAATGTCAAATTGTAAAAAAACAACCAAAAACAAAATTGTTATCTTCATGACATTTGAAGTTATTTTTGGAGTGGGTTGTAGCACAGCATCATGGCCCCGGTGTGACATTGTGCCATTTCAGTGTGCATGCCTGCAGGCGTTACCGGAATGCTCCAGCTTTCACCAACCGCGTTGTTATTGTCACCTTTTCAAAGTCGAACAAGACAGGGCGAGTGGTCATTTCTACAAAAAAATCACACAATCCTTATCCGTAAAATCAATGCAGTGTATAGTCAATGGCTGTGACAGAATATTATCTTTTTGGTGTTCACTTTTACCATTTTATTGATAGTGAATTTTGTATTTGCTTTGTGATTATTATTTTATTGACATTTATCTTACTGTATATTTTCTCTATTGGAGGTTTTCTTGTATGGCGTTTGCAAGGGTTTTCTTTGATGTTATTTCTAAATAAACATTTAGTCTTGCTGGGTAAACAAATGTGTCTTTGCTTGTTTCGTAGTTTATAACATATTTTTATTAAAAAGAATAGACTGAGATCATTATCAATGTTTGTGAATACCCATTTTTTCAGGTCATTTGAACACCTTGTTATAATGAGTATCTACTACACATGTTGTATTCCTTTCTCTTAATTTGTACCTCTTCCTCCAGATGTTTGTATTTTTTGTATCAAAATGTGGCTTGAACCTGGTTCCCAAGATACATGTGGACATAAGCACACCTGATTCTTTTAGAATATTGTCATGTGCAGGTCCATAAAGGGATGTTTAGACCTCTAGGTGGCAGCAGGACACTGAGAGACAGGCTGATCTCTGAAGAGCTTATCCCTTGGATGCATGATGCTGACTCCCTTGCCTGCTCTGACGTTAGCAGGGTCTGTAGAGCTTCACTGCAGTCTGGAAATACATATCAGGGAAATTACTTAATGGAGCAGAAATGTATTATGGGTGATGTTCAGTTGAATCAGTGCCTAGGCTAATACAGGTAAACATTGAATGAGTTGTTCCGAAAAAGCAAACATTTGTGACGAAAATATACTTCATCCAAACTTTAAATTCAATTTTTCCAACTTATGCAGAACTGTGAATCATCCTAGTTGAAGAGATTTGACTGCATTGGGTTTAAAAATAGGCCGTGACGATTCTCTCCTAATCCACCCACCAATATTGCTGCGCTGCCGTGGAGTTATTTATAGCTGCGATCATGTTGGAAGGCTTCTTTGTTGGAGTGTCTGTGTCACAGCGGTGGATTCAACAACAGGTCTGCAGTCACTCCTGGAGACACCTCAGAGTGAGCACGCAGCTAAGACACATATTAATTATGTTCCTGGACACACTGTTCTGGTCACAGCTATTTCTGCACCCACCGCAGAATAGTTTTTTCTTTCTTTGACGTATCTGGAGCATTAGTGGATAGAGAAGATTGGTGTTTTTATGACCATATCTAGAGCCCTTTGAAAGCCTGACATGACCAGAGGCTCCCGATTGTCCTGCTTTACAAATGACAATTCATAGTAGTCTTTGACTTTGTCCCTGTTTAACCTCTGGATTATCGGCTCTCTTTATTGAAAAAGCCATCAGGCCAACGAAGATAATTACACCGCCTTGTTGATCCTATTAGTCTGCATGCAATTGGATGGCCGTGGCACAGATCTAGCTGTGACAGTCCTCACGTGTGTTCACAGCTAGATCTGTTTTTCCATGACCCTTTAGACACTTCCTCAGTGTGCTTGGGCAGAGTGTTGATCCACTAAAGTCTTTAACCATAAGCTAATTCTCTGTACCAATGAGATGCTGTATTTTAAGACACACAAGTGTCGCATACAGGATAATGGGTACCTCATACATTTTCCTTCCACCCACTGTCAAACCCATCAGAGCAAAACATTTGAAGTTATATCAGATGCAGAAGATGATTTGGAGTAGAGGGGGGAGGGGGGGGGGACCATAAAAAGCACCAGGAGCATAATTACAACCTCAATTGGCCCGTGATTCATGGTCCTCGGACAGCTATTTATCCCCAACTTTTGTCTTTGATTGCCTGCCCCCCCCCACAACCAGGAGTGCAGAGATATAGACTATAGAAATAAACTTCTATCATTCTGCCACTCTCTTTACAGACACACAAAAGAGTGACATCATTCTGTCAGCAGGAGAAAATAGCATACTTTCCATTGACATCACTCCACATCCCGTTGCTAGGAGACAGGGGAGTCAACACTGGTTGCTATGGCGACATGCATTTCACCTTCAGAGCTCCTGACCTTTTTGGTTGTCTATTGCAGACTGTGAATGTGTGTGTGTGGACTGTGGCCCCAGCGTTGTGTAACATGAGCATTCAAGGTCTTGTTGACTCATTCACTGCAGTGTAGTGATTGTTATAGTACATTCTAGATTAAAGGACTGCCCAGACAATAAGATGCTCTGCAGCGGCTACACATCTGAGAGTAATGGAGGTGTTCTGCATGAGACAAGTGATGAGTAAATGAGAAAAACCCATTGTCGTAATTTCTACGTAATGTAATAGCTATGATGTCAGCCACCTTTTAAAGTGACGTTACTGTCAATCAAATGATGGGCAATTACGGCATTAATCAAAAGATCAAATCAGTGTAAAAGCAGTATTAAAGTCAGTATAATCAACATTTTCTACGTTGACAAGCGTAAGAAAAAGACTGGAAACGTGAATGAATTTATACAGTATATTTATTTAGATATACATTTCCTCCTGTAAGAGACGGACTCTTGTTTACCTGAGGACAGTGACTGAAGAGGTCCAGCATCAGCGAGTGATTGTAAAATGAGCTACAGAAAAACAGCACAAGTGAAAGAGTTATACATGGAGAATCTGGCTGGTTCAGAGCTCAGGAAACGGATGTAGTACCATGTTTGGTAAACTACTACATGCTGATGGTAAAATTGTTAACACAGCTGGATCACAGTGACTGGAAACAGCCTCTTTACACTTAAACTACAGGAGCTTCAGATTTATATAAACAAAACAAAATCAGGGTTGAAGTGGTCATCTCGATCACACACACGGCACAGTTACAGAAAGTGCTAGATAGTCTAAGACAAAAGTTTCCAGACTCATAGAATTGAAATGGTTTTGAGTGGCAAGGAGAGTCAGTGGCTAAAAGTGTGGTTCAAGCTCCGCTTCAATCTTGTTATAATTTCAGTCCTTTTTTGGCACAATCGGAGCAGCTTTCTCAGCTGTCATTTGCTAATTGAGTTTAGCAAGCGCATCAATGCCAGTCCTCCGGAGAGGGCCACGGGCAGAGGTGGGCATTACAGGGCTTTTTTGGATTAGGTTGAGTTTGTGGCCAGTTTTCCACTCCAAGTCTGGTCTTCTATGCCACCCCGGTACATCGAGGGGTAATGTTGTCCCAACAGGACATTCTTCCACCCCGGCCCCCCCACCCACATCCTGCCTCTAAAAGGCATCCCTTCATTCCCAGAAAGGGCACAAAGCTCATCTTCTTCTACAGATATAAGATCTCAAATCTCTGATCTTATCGAGTAGATGATCACAAGTGTCACCTCTGCGTTGCTCTGGGTAACCTTTCCAGCTGTGGATGAGGTTTCCCTCTCCTAACAAGACTTTCTGTTTGGTTTCTTGATAAAAATCACATCTGCTTCTCCCACATTTGGCTTTTATGTGCAAAAGCTACTTGAGCAAACACACAGAATAACATCGTTTATGTTTCAAAACCTGTACAGTAATTATAAGCATCATCACACAAGTCATCTCTGAGGACTAACTGAAATTCTTTCCCCAGTTTGTATAAAAGGGTAATTATACCCAATAAAGGTAAACAATGGTACACATATATACCTGTATATTCCCAAGTAATTCTCTGGGAATTAACTCCTTATCTTTCCCTGTTCGAGACGTCTAATCAAAACTAATTAATTGAACTAGTCCCATCAGTCTAATCCAGCCGACAGTGCTGATTTAAATATTGGTTGGAGTCAAGTCATCATATGTACAGGAGGTCTGTACTATGGCTCTGCTCCATCATTTATGACACGGATATAAAACCAAAGGGCAACAAAAAAATACATTAAAACAAGTTCCAAAGACATGGCAATAGTATGACAAATACTGACAGCATTGTTTCATGACACATGACCATACTGAGTTTCTGAACAAACGACTAAAATAAACATCCAACAAGGTCAACTGATAAAATGCACAAACAGCAAGCCAAGTAACAGGGAGGGACATAGAAAGGGCAAGTGGTGCAATAGGTGTGATGAATTCCTCAAATCCACATACACAGATACATTTAAATAACATTCCCCTTTCTTCTACAGCAGAAAGGTACGCTCTCTCGACTGAAGCCATGCAAACGGCAGGAACTGAACTCATGACTTCCCTTCTAAGGCATGGAGCATTGGGTCCCTAAAAAAGGATCCTCTTGCCCTCAGAGCGGGGTGGAAACATCTCATCGTCCAGTCAACACCGTCTTCCATCCTCACTGCATCTTCGCATCCAGCACCTTACTCTTCTCCCCCTTGTTGGCAGCCGTGGACTTCCAGTATTGATGGCAGGCTAACTCCAGCAGCTCCACGCCGCCAATCAGCTTCTGCTGGGCCATGAATACTCCCACTATAACCAGGAAGTAGAGCCTGAATGGGGCCCAGAGCCACAGGCCAGTGAAGCAGAAAGCGATGAAGCTGGTCCAGTACAGCAGTGAGGCGGCTTTGATCAGAGACACCCGCAGCTCAGACTTACAGGGTGGGACACGGGCGACGCCTTCCCTATCGAAGCCCCGGGGCTGGGCGGAGTAGAAGTCTCGCAGGCGGATCTCCTTCTCGGCCCAGCGATCCCGACACCAAGACTCCAGGTCGGACGAGGCGGTGGGCAGGGAGGCCACTGGGTAGCGGCGGACGTGGAAGTGGATCTCGCGGGGGAAAAGGCCCAGGATGAGGTGGCGTTCTGTCTGAGGGATGTTCTTGGGGTACGCCACTGTAATATCATGGACGGCATCCAGGTTGCCCCCTAGGAAAAGGGACGGTTTAAAATGATCAAAGGGCACAACAAAGAGAACAAGGCATTGAACTAGACTGAAAGTTATGTATAACGCTCTATTGTCAACACTCCAAACTAATTGTATGGTACGCAGTTTATAACGGGACACTGCAAGGAGACTTAAATGTATCCATTTTCCACTTCCACACTTGTTATTGGAATCCTTTTATGCACTTGTCAAAATCCCAGCTCTGAGCTTCATTACGCATGTAGCTCTAATTATCCAGAGGCTTAGAGCTTCATCCCATCTCTGCCTTCAAAACGACCATGAGCTTTATACCACTGTCATTGATCCGCAGTGCCCTTACTATACCAATATAGAGCTGAATGAAATCTCAGCGGACAGGACGACACCTGCCAGCGCCGGCTCCTGTACAGCTCATCTCTCATGAGGTAAAAATAGAGCTGAGAGGGGCACGGTGGACTTGGGACAAAGACATGTT